CAGATCTGACTCTTAACCTGGGCAACTTTATTACAACAATCACCAGTTTTGATTGTCATTTATTTATTCATGTGAAACATATAACATTCCAGAGAGGCAAAATCTGCTGCAACTTTAGATCCTCCCCGCACCCCTCCTTTTTTCCTCCTTACATATAATTGCTGTCACCAACTGTTCATTTGTATTTGAATAAATAGAGCAAACAAACACCCTGAGATGCCTGAAGCCACAACTTTATTTGCCTTCTTCATTTTCTGTCGCAGTGTGATGCTCCATGGCAAGTCATTAATTACTTACTTAAAGGCAGAGCTTGCTCCCACTGAAGTCATTGTTCCCATTTTCAGTTGTGCTATCTTACAGCCCTACCAGTCTACAAATTATGTTTGTGAAATACCTGTTGGCACTGCAGCGTTATACTCAGTAATCTGCCTTGCCTACATTGTTATAATGATATATTTATGATTTTCAAAATAAATTCTAAACATATAACATATTCTTCAAACTTACATTATTTGCAAGGCTTTTTCACAACTTTATTACTTTTCAGGAAAGGGGGCAATAACATTTCACAGGCAACAGGCATCACGGAAGCAAAATTAAGAACATTGTTTCATTTAATCTGGGAGAATTGTAGCAGTGTTATATCTTGAGATCACCTGGGAGTATCTAGTTGAAATTACATTGAAGACTCTCCCAGCTCGTTCCCTATAATACTGAACATGATGAGGGTCTATCAGTAGGGCAACAGAACAGATAAGCTAAGGGTTTCTGCATACTCAGGAGACTAGTCAAGAATGCAGAACAACTTGACTTGCAAATTAAAAAGAAACGTGTGCCCCAGTAGCCTAATAAGAACTGAGCGTGTTTATTACCTTTAGAAAGTTGAGAACAATTGACAGTTAAAGGGGGGGGGAATAGAAAGAGTTGAGGAAAGTGACAGTATTTTGGGAGAGCAAGATTTGGATCAGGGAGAGATTTAACAATCATTTATTCCCGTCATCCAATTCCTCACAAGCACCAAACTGACATTCCTTTAATTAGGGAAATCCTATATGATCCTTAGCTCCTTGGAGGATGGGTATGTATTTACACAAAAATAAGTGAACATTTGTTTTTAGAATTTATTTGAGAATTTTAACCCACTTTTCTCCACTCCGTGTGGACTCAAAGTGGTTTTCAATGTCCTTCCACCCCCCAAAAAATCCATCAAATTTCACAAAAATATAAGTTTCCTAACATTAACAAACTAATCCACAGGGTGGAGAAGGAGGCAGAGAAAGCAGTAACAGCTCTAACCTTGATGGAACAGAGGCTCTCCACAAGCAGGCAAAGAATATACTCTGCTGCTATAAGCAATATATAAATATACAAGGGAGGACCTGCAACAAAATGTTGCATAATGTGTTGTGGCCCTACCACATAGTCTTTGTTGTCGGCAGTCCTCGCAAGGAACTTGTGGGGAGAGGGCATTCCCCCACCTTTGGTTCCCTCTCCCACCTTGGTTGTCAAAGTTTCCTCCTCTGTCTTTCTGCACCTACCCCTTATCTACCAATCTAGCAATTCTTTCTTAGCCCCTTTCTCCTCTCACCCCATGTATGTCTCACCCCCTTCTCAGACAATGTCCTCTTTCCCCCACCCCCTCTCAGTCTGCCCCTCTCTTTCCGCTGTTTCTCTACTCCCCCACAATCTCCCCCTCCCTCAGACAATCTCCCATTCTTTTTCTTTCTCTCCCTTCAACAGAGAATCCCCTGTTCTTCCTCTCTCTCTCTCTCCCCACTCAGTGAACCCCACTTCTTTCCGTTGCTCTCCTTTTGCAGCCACGCAGGTCAGCAAACATCCCCATTTGAGAGCACTTATCTCCAGCAGCAATCTGGTTGAGGGTGGGGGGCCGACGCAGGCTTCGCCTCCTTGGGCTTCAGCTGTCAGGCCGCAGGGCTAGCTTGGGCAGCAGCAGTAGAGGATGGGCTGGCTGGCTCCCAGAGAGGCGCTGCCACCCCTTTGGCTCCCTGGGCCATCCGGCCACCTTCCCTCCCCAGGAGTGCCCAAACATCTTCTCTTCATTGCCGGCAGTCCTGGCAATGGTTGGGATGGGTCTCGCAGCAGGGCACATGGTTATTGGCATGGCGGCTTCCCTCAGTGTCTTTTCCCGGTGGTCCTAGCAGCGGCAGGGACAGTTATTGCCATAGCAGCTTCTCTCATGGCTCCAGCAGCTTTTCACATGCTTCCTATGAGTTTGTTCTCTGCGCATGTGCAGAGCAAGCAGTTTTACTTTTGCGGGGATTTAAGTATCCCTGTATTCTTTTTTAAATATTTTAGATTTTTCTTCAAACCTGGCGAGTGCCCCAAGTTTGCTGAAAGATTTATTTACCCTCCATGTGTCCCAGATTGTGGGAAATAAGTATCCACACACAGAGAGACCCTTGACTATTAGATACATAGATATGGATCCAGGATACATTATGCTAAAATAGCTTGTGCATAAAGAAATTAACACCCTCATCCTAAAACATTCACTCTGGAATGCCCTCCTTTCATATGGTGCTGTTAAAAGTATCAATAACTTCCCACTTTAAGTTCCTATGTAGTCCTGGCACCTGGACTCATAAAACTGGGAAATACATAACAGCCATTTTCAGGCCTGTCATGAGCTTTGGTAGATGGTTGTCCAGCATTCATGGCTTTCAGCTTTTTCTGAGCAGCTGCAGGATTATAATAATGTTGGAGTTATCCACATAGTTAGAGACTACAACCAATTGCTGTGCCTTACAATTCAGACACCCCAGGTTAAGCTTATAGGTGGTTGACAGATGACGTAACCATCTGAACCCAGCCATTGTATCAAACTGTTTGTGGTTGATTTAGATAAGTAGCTGTCACTAGTTATGGCTTAATCAAAATGTCCATCTCTCAAAAGCCAGTCTTGCCTGGGAGAAAATGGAGTTCAATACTAATTAACATGACTCATTCAGCAACACACACACACACACACACAGAGAGAGAGAGAGAGAGAGAGAGAGAGAGAGAGAGAGAGAGAGAGAACAGATGCAAATGAGTTTTCTCCATAATCAGCAGTGGAGGACATTTTAGGGTTAAAAAAAATGTTTCCAATTAGACTGTTAATAAATCATCAGATTCAAACTAATTGCACAGTCCTCTTACAAAGGTATCCAGTTCTGTTAAAAACTTATGAAATTCCTCATTCTAATAACTTTTCCAGAGAAACTACTGCAGATATAAATTCTTCAGATAAATTGCATTATTTGGGGTTGTCATTCTTCCTGTTCACTACACAATTAACTCCTCAGAAACATCTTCCATTCCCCCAGCCTTCCCCCTGCTACGCAAGATGTTGGAGTTTACTTATGCATCCGTAGAAATGATTTTAGTCTGTTTTAAACTTGTACTTGTATTATGTATTATGTAAACTTGTATATTGTATGCACTTTGTGCCCAATGTGAGCCGCCCTGAGCCCGTTCGCGGGGAGGGCGGGGTATAAATACAATTAAATAAATAAATAAATTTGCAGAGCATAGCCATTTTACCTAGTTGATTCATTTGAAATGTGGTGTCGGAGGAGAGTTTTTTGGATAATGTGGACTGCCAAAAAGACAAATAAGTGGATTCTAGATCAAATCAAGCCTGACCTCTCCTGAGAAGCTAAAATGACAGAACTGAGGCTATTGTACTTTGGTCACAATTATGAGAAGACAAGACTCACTGGAAAAGACAACAATGTTAAGAAAAGCTGCAGGCAGCAGGAAAAGAGGAAGACCCAACATGAGATGAATTGACTCAGTCAAGGAAGCTATCCTCAGTATGCAAGATCTGACCAAGGCTGTTAACGATAGGACATTCTGGAGGTCTCTTCTCCAAATCTCTAAATGTTCTCTCCCAACAGGTTCATACAGGTGTTATCAGAATGGGTGACCGGATGGAAACTTGTGGCCAGTGGCTAAAGGAAGAAATAGACTTCAACACCACCTTATGAGACCAACCTACCTATCACATTTTTATCCTTCTCCTCTGAGGAGATAAAAGTGCTGTACAGTTCCTCTTCTCTCCCAGTTTATCCTCACAACTCTGTGATATTATTTAAGCTGAGAGAGAGTTGGGGAATTTGAACCAGGGTCCTCTAATTCCTATTCTAAACAACAGTCGATATATTTGTAATTATGTGTAAGTCATTGCTAAGATGTTGATAGAGAATGAATAAAGATATTTGGATGAGTAATATTTATTTGGTCTGTAATGTACACTGATGGAGAGTAGAGGAACAATTTCTTTGTTGCACTGTTTTCTATAATGTTATATTTAAAAAATAATGCTATATTTAAAATGAAATGGTAAATAATATTTGCAGAATAGTGAGCGTTACTTGAAAACAGAAGTCTGAATCCTTCAGAAATGTGAGATTCTTTGACGCTTGCATCCAATGGATCCAACCCATAATGGAATTTCATTAAGTAACATAGGATTAATCTTTATAAAAATGAACTTATGAAAGGTCATACTGTTGGTCTGTCAAGCCCAGTATTGTTTTCTCTGACTGCCAGCAGTTTTTCAAGGTCTTAGACCTGCTATGTGAGAGTCCTTAGCTGGAGGCAGCCAGGACTGAACCTGATAACTTTAATTTGAAAATCATGTGCGATACCTCAGACTGTGGCTTTTCTACTTCATAACTATGAAATATGTACATACCTTAAGATATGTTTCTGTTGCTTAGTTTATGCTGCATTTACTTTCATCATCAGATGGTTTTTAGGGATTTATATGAAACCAAAGCAAAACAGGATTCTTAGATACAATGTACTGCAGCCCATGCATGGTGAACTTGCTCATTAGAGAGCAAAGCACATAAGAGGGTGTAAGATTAAAAACAATGTTGTTCTTTTCTATCCATTATGAAAGTGATATAAAGAAAGCACAGTAACCATGCTTAAGGTAATATTAGTACTGATAGATTCAGCTGACATTAATTCTCAAAGGTTTTATTCTGCAGGTGATACATATGGGGTGGGTGAATGAGAGGCTTCAGGGAGCAGATTCCCCACAGCTCTATAAATTCAAGTTCCTGGCACTGAAGGGTTCATTGTTCTACATTTTCAGCACACCTCCGGTAAGCAACTATTTTGTATGTGATTATTATGGAAATCGTTTGCTAGTAGAGGAGAAGTCCCTTTCTATCAGATAATGAAGGAAGGTTGAATCTACAAAGGAAGTTCACAATAACTCTTTCAGACACCTTTAATCTTTTCCTCCCATGCATAAAACATCAAGATCCACAAGAGCTGGACTATTCAAAGTTTTAATAATGGCCTGTGAGACTGCTTTGCTTTTCAGTGCAGTTTGAGACCCTGGTGGTATGATCCAAGGACCCAAAGTGTCACCAGTGAACTATTACATTGCCTTTAATGTGGGATTTGAGGTAGATATGCTACTATGGCATATTAGGAAGATCAGGAGTGCAATATAGCAGGCTGCATGGTGACTTTAGAATAAGCAGTGGGGCTTTTTGACATTTTTCCTGCACAAACTGCTTTTGTATCTTGGGGAAATTTCAAAAGTAGTTTGCCGTACAGCACTGTGAGTTAGAAGTCTCTCAGACGCAAAGATCTATACCAACTTCATGCACAAAGCCAGCGGGACTCCTCTTGATTGTGTCCCAAGGTGAATCACTTAAAGACCTACTTTTTCTTTGCATACTCAGTTTAGAATGCTATTTTTCCTCATAAGCGGCTCTGAAGCTTTAGAAGAAGGAGATACAAAAAAACTGGAAAGGATGGTGAGCATCTCAGTGGCACAGGATCTGATTCAATGTAGTGAATAGGGATGGCCACTTTCCGAAATCTGCCCCAGACTGAACCAAACCAGCGTTGTTCCTGGACCAGTTCTTGAAATGAACTGCGGCCTGTTCACGAACTGGTTTGCAAAACAGTCCGGGTGCAAAATAGCCCCCCGAGGGGTCCCAGTGATCCAAATTCTCAGCATAATTCTAGCTCACTCTTCTCAACATGCCCACCAACTTTGGTCCCTCTTGGACTTCGGGGGGCCAAGCTACAGACCCCAAAGAGACAATGCTTTTCAATGGGACTCCCCCCCCGCCGGTTCGGAAGTGACCAAAACTGACCCAGGTGAGCTAGAGGCCTCCAACTCACACAGCCCATCCCTGGGGTGGACCTCCACATGCCCCATAAGTCACATGTCTGTTGTGTCACAGCCTTTCAGGGGGAGCAGGCGAGGGGCGGCGCCAGTGGTGCTGAGCCGGCCGCTGTGGGCCCATTTCCACTGCTCCACCCCCCACCTTCATAGCCTTTCAAGGGGAGCAGGAGAGGGGCGGCAGTGGAGCAGGCGAGGGGTGGCGGCAGTGCCGGCATCGGTGAGCCGCCTGCCACGAGCACGTTTTCACTGCTACCCCCCTTCTTCACTCTCTCTTCCTTTCTCCCTATCTCCCTTCATTCTTTCCCTCTCTCACTCTTTATCCCTTCGTCACTCCCCTTCTTCACTCTCTCTTCCTTTCTCCCTATCTCCCTTCATTCTTTCCCTCTCTCACTCTTTATCCCTTCCTCCCCAACGCTTTGACTTCTTCCCTCCCTTCATCCTCCCTCCCTCCATCTCTGCCTATCTTTCTTTCTGACTGTCTCCCCCCTCACCCTTCTTCCTTCCTTCCATCCTTCCTTCCTTCCATCCTTCCTTCCTCTCTCTCTCTCTCCCAACTCCTGTATCTATCTACCCTCCCTCCCATCCACCCTCCCTACCTTTCTAGGGCCCGTTGTCTTCATCCACAATGGACTTTGCTCCCTAGTCATATTATATTGTAAAACTTGGCAACATTACAGGTTCATCATTCTCAATGAGCATCTGGATATAAACTCATTTTGTCCAATCTCCCTCAGGAGTAATCCTATAGTAATGAAGGTGTCAGCCTCTTGCTACAGTTCAATGTTCTGTTTAAGAGCAACCCAATGTTTGATTTCTTCTTTATATTTTTCAAATAATCCTGAAAAATAACCCATGGTATTTTAATTGAATAAGCAACATGAACCTGAATGGAATATTATACAAAATATAGGTCCAAAAGCCTCCTGTATTATGCTGGCTTAAGAGCTCTCCATGAACACTGTATATATTTATGGTAGTAGCAACCTGTCCTCTTCTCTCCCTGGCTACAAGCCTTCAATTTTAAATTGGCTGGCAAAATAGTCTCTACAAAATGTCCAGTTCATCTCTTAAAAATATTACATTTATTACAAGTGAATTTATTACATAGAGTAACATTGATAATGTGTTACAGCTTTAAGAAAGAGATGTTTAACATGCAGCTGCATGGAATTTATTAGAATAGATGTCTTTATAGACTCTGGGGTCCTAGTTTGTTGTAGAGAGCATTTTGCCAGCCAATTTAAAGTTGAAAGGGTGTACTATGGAGCGTGATGGACAACACAAGCTCCAGGATGATCCACCTACACAGTGATGGCACAATGGTAGGAACGTTTTGGTTGGGCATCCCCAGTCCCATTCCCCACCCCCTCACTCTGGGACCAGTTATCACGACATGGTAGGCAGACTGAAGCCCAATCAGTGACTGTCAGTTTGGGGGCAGGTCCTGAGACCCGCAGACTTGCAGCCCCCAGACCTAATAATAATAATAATAATCTTTCCATTTATTGATCGCTCAATCCAGGTAGAGCTGCCGGCTCTGAGTGATTTACAGTTACTCCTGAATTTCACATGGGACTAACAATGCTGGGGGTAAGGGAGGACAACATATATCATTAAATCACACACATTTCGTAGTCGATGGAGTTTGGTCGGCTGTAAGGTCCAGGCATGTTCTGGCAGCATTCCTTTTTTTTCGGCGTCACTTGATGTCGTCAGCATTGTCTCAGTCGCAGCACAGCACTGCCACCGTCTGGCTGAATGGCCTATTGTAGGCTTTTCTTCGGCACTGAATAGATCTTACTCGGCTTTTGGATCTTACGCGCAGATCATCCGATCGGCTAACACAACCCCCTCTAAGGAGTGGTACCCATTTTATCTACTCGCCGAAGCTTTCGAACCGCTGGGTGGACGGCGAGCTAGGGACACAGACTAGCAGCTCACAACAATGTGGGGCTCGAACTGACAGCAGTCCTGTTCAGCTCAGCTGTTTAACCAGAGGATAAATCCCCTGTGCCACCTAGAGGCCTAGACCAAAGGGAGGTGGCTGAGGGAGAATTTGGCCTCACACAAGGTTGGAATTTATTGGAGAAACAAGATCACAGGAGGATTTTTGTATGGCCAGTAGTCACATTGCCAGCAGGCAGACTGGAACCAGATGAAGCTATGGGCAGCCTACTGGGGAAACAAGTGGAATATGACAAAGAAGATGGCTCAAAAAGGACTGGCAGGCTCATTCATCAAGTTGAGGGTAAACCTTCTGTCTATCTCATTAAATCTGATCATGATTTCCATATTTATGTCTATGATTTGTTGAAGACAGCCTAGACATCACCATGCAAACTTTGCCAAACTTTTGGAACTTCACTGTAAAGTTTGTAGACACAAAGACAAGTGCTTTCTTTGAAGGCTTAAATGTCCCTGTGAGCCCACAATCTGCCAGGAAAACTATTCCATCATGAACTTTACGAATAGACTTATGTGAACATGAATCATAATACATGATGTAGTTTTGTGCAAGGGAACCCCTTTTCTTGAAGGAAGCCTTCTAAAAGGGGTACGTGAATGAAGTTAGAAGAAACAGCAGCCACAGATTCCAGCTGCATGAAAAGTGGCCCGAGTAATAGTACAATTTCTGATTTTTAAAAAACTTTCCCTCAGCTTCTCACTTAACTGTTCTACTGCTATATGCAAGTGCAGCTTGATATTATGTTCCTTGTCCAGCAGTCCTTCTTTCAGGGGGTTAGGCAATGACAACTATGAAATGCTTTTAAACAGTGTTAAGGAGTGCCTGACCTAATTAACATTAGTGTACTGTGATCAGATCAACTGTTGAGCTACTATTACGTGAGAGTCTTATACGTTTTAGTTGAGGAGAGCAGACAATAACATACATGTAACGTAACTAATGAGAAAATTGATAGTTTCAAAAATCGCAGGTTTTTGAGATAATGCATATGGTAGGAACCAGGCAAAGTATGGAGATTTTTGTTTAAAAACACCTGTCTTTGGCAGGCAGATGGATGGGATGGGGGGTCCCAGCCCCCCTGGACAGGACCCCACTTGGAACCTGCCTGGTAGTGCCCTCTCTCATGGTGGGGGAGACATGTAAGTGTGGGCACCTCTGGGTGGGACCCAGTAGTGTGGTCTGAATACTTGGCTGTGGCGGGCGGACAGGTGGGGTGGGGTGGGGAGTCTCAGCCCCCCTGGACAGGGCCCCCTCTGGGACCTGCCTGGTGGTGCCCTTCCTCACAGGGAGAAGAGACATGTAAGTGTGGGCCCTCCTGGGAGGGACCAAGTAGCATGGCCCACCCACCTGACTGTGGCAGGCAAACCACATTAAGAAGATAAGGTCATGGGTGGTGTCTGTTGAGGTTTGTTTGTAGTTCATTGGTTTTCCTGGGTCAGAGAACAGTCAAAGATGTTGAGGACAAGGCTCACTTCTGACAAATGTCTCTTCTTAGGGTGACCGGCACAGGGGACATCCCAAGAGGGGGAAGGCAGTGCTCACATCCATCTATGTTTATTTTTAATTTTGTGGGGGGGATCCTGGAGGTGGAGAGTACAGAGAGACTTGGGGGGGAAAGGGTTGCTTCTGACAGATATCTCTTCCTGAGTTGTCTGGTGCAGGAAATATCCCAAGAGGGGGAAGCCATTGCTCATGTCTGTTAATGTTTATTTTAAAGTTTTCATGGGGGGGAGGGGTTTCTTGGAGTGAAGAATGTAAAAAGACTTTGAGGACAAGGTTCACATCCGACGGATGTCTCTTTTTAGGTTGGCTGGTGCGGGGAACATCCCGAGATGGGGAGGGCTCACGTCCATCAGTGTTTATTTTAAGGGTTTTTTTTAGGGGGTTCCTGGGGTGGAGGGTGTGGGTGGAGAAGCTGAAAATGGGTCACATCAGGCAAACATATGGCTTTGGGTTGCCTGGTGGAGGGAGTGCACCTGGAGGACGAGCTT